TTTTTCCCTTCCTATCATAGCCACCTCATCCCACCCCGCATCCCCATCCTTTTGGCCTTCCCCAAAAATCATGCGGCCACCCACACTTAGCTTAGACCTGGTTATTGGGCAAGTCGAGTCAGGGTCGGTACAGGTCGATTGCGGGTCGGGTCAAAGAGGTCACATTTTATAGGGTCAACAACGGGTCAGGCCATTGTGGGTCCTAGGTTAATAGCGAGTCGATGTTGGGTGGGCCAACAAAATATCAATTAAAATAAATATTGGATAAAGCAATTATTAAGTATATATGAATACAAATTTATCTATATAAATATTTTTAAATTTTCAAATTTCTTTATCTATTAAATTGGAAAAATCATTTTGGCCCTATTATGACCCACCCAATAAGGGCCTTGTCCATTAAAGGTCTTGTCCATTACATGCCCGCTTGACCCTGACCCTATTATCATTAGGCTACCCTATTCAACCCCCACCGTCATACTTCAAGTAAATAAAACAATGACGGTGATCAAATTATTTTAGACACTACGTATTTATTATAAGAGAAATTAATTTAAGATAATGTTATTCAAGTCAATAAAACAATGACAGTGATCAAATTATTGGATTAATTGACTCAAAATCTCAAATTATTCCTTTGACTTTCATGTATACAAAATAAACAATATCATACTCTTTTTGAACAATTGAACAAGTCAAGCCATAAAGACTAAAATTTGTTCCTCTATATAAAGGGTGCCAATTGCAGCTAAGAAAATGCAAGAAACCAATCCGTAATATAAAAGCTATCCTTCAACACTTATACATGTTTTAACAATCCAACGCCAACTTTCAAGCTATAGCAAATTAACAAGCTTGCATAACACTGAGCAATCTTTCAATTTTCTTCGTCTTTTGTTTCTTTTCCACTTTGTCCCATGCCATAGAGTTCAACTTTTGTGTTGGGGATCCTAGTCTTCCTAGAGGATCTCAAGGATATGCTTGCAAAGATCCTGCTAAAGTTACAACTGATTATTTTGTTTACACGGGTTTCCGAGGTGAAAAAACTCCTAACAATGTTTTTGGGAACAACGTGACATTAGCATTTTCAAATGTGTTCCCAACCTTTAATGGTTTAGGCATATCTCTGGCTAGGTTAGACTTTGCCGTAGGAGGAGTAATTCCAATACACTCTCATTGTACATCAGAAATTCTTAATTTGGTTAAAGGTTCTATCATTGCTGGATTTATTGATACAAACAACATTGCATACTATAACAGATTAGAGGTTGGTGATGTGATGGTTTTTCCACAAGCCATGCTTCACTTCCAAATCAACGTTGGTAAAAGTCCTGCTACTGCCTATGTGAGTTTGAATGGTGCAAACCCAACATTACAACTCACTCCTACCTCTTTATTTGCTGAGAATTTACCTGCTGACATTGCCTAGAAAATCACACTTTAAGTCATAAGGAAGTTATGCAAATGAAGCCAATATTCGGCGCAGCTTAACCAAACTCCTTTCCTGAATTATTCTAAGTTCCCAAAATAAAAATGAAATAAAGTAATAAAAGAGTGTATAATTAAATTACATATGTCCATTGTATTCCTTCAGCTTTTTTTATACTAATGAATATTTTTGTAACATATACATATATAATATCCTCCTTTTTCTTTGATGCTCATTAGCTCATCCATTCTTAGGACAATACTAGCTTCATCCATTTGTATGTTTTTAGTTGACACATTTTAACATGAACACTATACACACACTTTTCTTTAACCGTGTCATTTTGTGATTTATACATAATTAAAAAGTATAGTCATGTGGCCTGGCCGTGTGTAACACCCTTACATTTTTCCTAAGAAAAACCATAATACGAAATATACTAGAGAAAGAAATTTAGGGCAATTATCACCAAGTGATTTCGTAACACTTTTCAAAAAAGAGACTTGTAGCAGAAGAAAATACTTATAGTAACTTTTATTAACAAGAATAGTATTGTAATTTCTCTCTCTTCAACAACTATTGTATTGATTTAACATGAATTTGATGATCAATTGATCATAAACTAACTTTTGCGTTGAAATGGGAACGTTTTACAATACTTAGCTTGAAACAAATCATGGAAGATTAATCTCGTCCTGTAAATGCCCGAATACAACAACAATTAATAAAGTTCCAAAGGCTGGAACCCAAAAGAAAAGTTTTAAAAGGGTGAACAAGAAGCAGTTGCATAAAAGGAACAAACAACCGTTCTCGATTAGGAACATTATTATCAAAGTTGTAACAAAGGTATTATTACCTTATTATTTAGTGAAGTTTGACTTTAAATCCTGAATGGATCACAGTATTTTTTCTTTTGAGTGCATGAATTGAAGCTTCCACTTAAAAATCTTTCTTCTACTATTACTAGTTCCTTTGCTTAACGTTTAATTTCCGGATAAAAATTTAGAACACCCGTTTCTATTACCATTTATCCCAGCCCATGGCCTCTTGCAAGTATTCCATCTAAAAAACCTATTGCATTGCACTTTAGATTCACATGGAACAATACTATAGTTGTTGAGAATTATGCTTGGGAAGTATTAATTGTTGTGGAAGTATTAATGATTGCATTAATAGCATTTTTTAATCTCAACTTTCACCAATTTATTTTTATTAATCCCAACTTTGGATTATTCCTCAATAATCCCAACTTTGATATGGTCTATCATTCTTCTTACCCAAAACCGGTCAACGAAAGTCAATGACCTAATTTTCTAGGTCACTTGACACGTGTCAAGCTGTCAGTGGTCCAAAAAAATAAAAAATAAAAATAAATCAATTAACAAAAAAAGAAAAAAAAAAAAAAACAAAACCAGCCACCACTAGCCCACAACCACTGGCGGTGGCCCTTTCCTCCACAGCCAACCCTAAACCACTGCCTTCCTAGCCCTAACCCCAAAAACCTCCCCAAAAACCGCACTAACCCTGCAAAACCGGCCCCCTCTACCTCCCCTCACCCCCTAAACCAGCCATAGCCAAACCCTTGCGCCAAAACTATCACCCATAAAACCCGAAACCATCCACAACCAAAGCTCACGTCCCTGAAACCATCCCATCCCCACCCGAAACCACCTGTAAACCCTCGAAATCACCTCCCCCACCCCCGAAACCACCTGTAAACCCTCGAAATCACCGCAGCCCGCTCCTTTTCTCTCTCCTCTAATTGCCGGATAACCCAATCAAGTGGAGTGATGGGAGGGTTTCCGGTGCATGGAGGGTTTTCGGCAGGTCGGAAAGTGGGGTTGGGGGGTTTCGGCAGGTTGGAAAAGTGGGGTGTAGGTCTCTAAGGAAGTGCGGCCACCAGCCACCCAACGCTGGTGGTCTTTGGGTTTTTTTTTATTTCCTTGTTTTTTGTTTTTTAATTTAAATTAAATTTTTTTATATTTTTTAACCAATTAGAGTGCAACTCGTGTCATATAAATTGTTTTAAAAAAAATTTGACCCTTTTTTCAGGTAACCAGTAAACCGGATTGAAGAAAGAAAACGCAGGTGAAAGTTGGGATTATTGCAGAATAATCCAAAGTTGGGATTAATAAAAATAAATTGGTGAAAGTTGGGATTAAAAAATGCTATTACCCCTTTATTATTTTGTAGATTTAATACGTTTTTGTAATAAAAAGAATTGAACAAGGAGGAAATTTTGCAAGTAATTGTCATTTAACAGGCCACATCAACCATTCTAATTTTGTTGGAGCTACCTCATATTTATAAGAGGTTTAAGAAACCAAAAATTAAATAAGAAGAAGCCATTTTTTGGCTAATAGCTAACTCTTAGCTTCACTATTCTTATAACAAAGATAAAAGTGATTAGGTATTAGTTCCCTAAGTTTAGCTTGGTTAAGGGAAATTGGCATTGGGCGATGTTGTCCATATCTCAATTAATTGGTGAGATGAATGTGCTCCAATATACACTGCTATTATTAAAAAAAAATTAAAAAAAAAAATTCCTCCTCAATATAAAAATCACCTTGTCTATAAACCAATACTAAAGTGGAGATTTTTTGGGAGGAAATTTACTCTCCTAAACTCTACTTTATCGCTTTTTGGTTCCACAAAATTATTAAATTACTTAAGAATTTATTAATTCATATATTTATAACTATTGAGTTACATATCAATAGAAACTTTTTTATTTCAAATACTATTAATTTTAAAAACTGAGCGGCTCATCAGGAATTATATAGTGCAATCCTAATTGTTAGTTATTTACAATAGCATAATTATATATCGAAATATTGTGAAAGAAAAATAATTCATTATTATAATATAATTAGTTTTATTACAATTATTAGGAAAAAATGCCACAATAATCCGAACTTTACTCCGTCCCTCCCAAAATAATCACAACTTTCAATTATGTCTAGCTAGTTTAATTGGTTAACTACAAAGTATTTAGAAATAAAACCTAAATATTGATACAAAGCACTATACATTTTGTGTCATAGACTCATAGCCACCCTTTACAACTCTCTATAACCCAAAACAAGTCATCATGCAATTTGGTAGTCTCGTCAACTTGACTTGGTCCTTTGTTTTTTTTTTTTTTTTTTTTTTTTTTTGAAGAAAACTTGACTTGGTCTTATATACAAGTAATTATTTAGAAATAAAATACAAAGCGTAGGCAAGATTTCCGGAACCCTAAAAGCTTGAATGTGAAATTTGAAGATAATATTTTTACAAAGAGTATCCTAAATTCCTAATCAAACCCATACAACTTAATTGAAGATAATGTTATTTTATTAAAGTGATACATGCCATTTCGAGAAAGTTTAATTGAAGAAATATTCAAGTCAATAAAACAACAACGCTGTCAAAAATTGGACTTAAAAAAATAAAGACAGATTTTCAGCCGCATCTAATCACTTCTTTAAATGCAAAGCACGTATTTCTTTGACTTTCATACCAAATAAAGAATATCATACCCTTTACGAATTGAACAAAACAAGCCATAGTGCCAGACTGACCAAATATTTCCTCTATATAAAGGGTACCAATTGCCTCTAAGAAAATACAACAAACCAATCCACAACATTATATATCTACATTTCAATACTTACATTAGTATTAAGTTAACGATCTAACACCACCGTACACCACCTTTCTAGCTATTAAAAGCTTACACGATGAACAACCTTTCTTATTTCGTCGTCTTTTGTCTCTTAGCCACTCTATCTCATGCCATAGAGATCGACTTTTGTGTCGGGGATCCTAGTCTTCCGAGAGGACCTCAAGGATATGGTTGCAAAGATCCTGCTAAAGTCACAACTGATGATTTTGTTTACACAGGTTTTCGTGGTGAAAAAACTCCTAACAATGTTTTTGGAAACAATGTAACATTAGCATTTTCAGATGTGTTCCCAGCCTTTAATGGTTTAGGCATATCTATGGCCAGGTTAGACTTCGCCGTAGGAGGAGTAATTCCAGTACACTCCCATCGTACGTCAGAAGTTCTTATTTTGGTTAAAGGTTCAATCATTGCTGGATTTATTGATACCAACAACACCGCATACTATAAAAGATTAGAGGTTGGTGATGTAATGGTGTTTCCACAAGCCATGCTTCACTTCCAAATCAACGTTGGCAAAACTCCGGCTACTGCATTTGTTAGTTTGAATGGAGCAAACCCTGCACTACAACTCACTCCCACCGCCTTATTTGCTGGGAACTTACCTGCTGACATTGCCCAGAAAATCACACTTTTGAGTCAAAAGGAAGTTATGCGGATGAAGCGACTATTCGGCACTGCTTAACAAAATTCCTTTGCAAAATTATTCTAAATTCCAACATAATAAATTATGAAAGTTTGTAATAAATTTTTTTTATGTATAATTATTTTATGTCCTTTGTATTCCTTCATTTTTTTGTGTTAATTACTTGTATTTTTGCTATTTATTTTAAGTTGAACAATATGATGCGTAGTATTGATGTATTCTTACATAATTGTATTAATATATAGCTACAGGTAATATTATGCTTTCATCAACACACATCTGTACATAACCTGATTTTTTTTTAATCATTGGATTCTTAAAAATAAATTGCTCAATGATTAGATTATGAAACACAAATTTTCCTTTATGTTATCATTTTGATAGAAATTATAATTATGATAATATTTGTCGCAGATTATTATAGATGTTATGTATATTTGTATCCTTATCGTACTAGGTTTCCTAACATGATTAGGATTAGGATTGTAAACTCTATATGTATTGATCAATGATACACGCTCCAAGTTGAGGAGTTTTCCCGAAATCTAAAATGGTATCACAGCTTAGGTTTTAGATCTCAATTTTTTATTTTTTCCAAAATTTGGTTTTATTTTTTAGTTTTTTAATTGGGACCTTTTTACCGTGCCATCATTAAGCTTCCACACCAGCTTTTTGTTTTTCTCACTTCTTTGATTTCGGCCTTACTCCATGGTTAATGACTCCGACAATCCCCCGCCTGATATTTCATCGTTGTTCATTGTCACGCATTTAACGTCCTCAATCACATGGACTCCACCCTTCAAAAACCGACTGATATTTCATCATTGTTGTGGTTGCGACTTAACTCCATTGTCAAGCAATGGATATATGGTACTATCTTGATCGACCTTCTTCAAACCATCCTGTGCAAAGGTGACTCTGAACAGTGGAATAAATTAAAGGATATCTTTCAAGACAATAAAAATTACGAGGGTTGTTTACCTCGAAAACCAGTTCAATACGATTCACCTTTCCAATTTTACGGACATTTCAAGCTACTGCCATCAATTGAAGAACCTAAAGAACTAACTAGCTGTTGTTGATCAACCCATAACCGAGCAAAAACTCGTAATCCGCCTTATATTAGGTATTGTGAACAGCGATTACGACACTGTTGCAACGATCATTCAACAGACTGACCCCTTACCATCCTTCGAATCTGCAAGATCAAGACTCCTTCTTGAAGAAACTAGGTGATCAAACGATCAAGGGAGTCAAGCATCCTCTTTTCTCTCGCAACATTCCAATTCGACCGCAAGTTCCACCGCTCAAACACCGTCCCCACCGCAACAGTAGCAGGTGCGGCCTGGCACTGGTGGCACCGACAGAGGCACCGGTCGGGGCAGGGGGCGTGATGGCGGCGGATCAGCTAAAGGGGGCAAGGGTAAGGGTCGGGGCAGAGACTTAACCCAACAGCAACAACAACAACCAAACTCGCAAGCCCCACAATGGGCTCCAGGTGCGCCTTGGGCCCAACAACCACAACAACAACAATTTTAGGCTCCGACTCCTTTCCCCTTCCCTCAGCAAGCCCAATCTCAGGCACGGCCAACTGCTCAACCACAAAGATTTGCAAACGTAGCACAATATTCACAACTGGCTTATCAAAACCCGTATCTGGTCTATTCGGCTCCTAATTACGGGACCCCCATGACTCCTACCGAGTTGGGAAACTCTTTTTCTACTATGACTCTACCAGAGGACAACTCTTGGTACGTTGATTCGGGCGCGACGTCTCACATGACCAACAATTCAGGTACTCTCATGCCCTTGTTTAATTTGAGCACCAATTATCATATTTTAGTTGGTAATGGAAATCGCATTCCCATAAAAGGTTATGATCACACCACTTTTCCTAACACTAAATCCCCTCTTGCCCTTCGGGATGTTTTATTAATACCTCAACTAGTTAATAATCTATTTTTCGTGCATAAATTCACTTCGATGATTCTGTTTCAATTGAATTTAATCCCTTTGATTTTTCTGTGAAGGATCTTTGTACGGGGAAGGTAATAATGAGATGAAATAGTTTGGGGGACTTATAACCAGTCACTGCAAACACCAATCCTTCTACTTGCCTTGCCATAACTCTCACTCCCACTTACTCATCCACTTGGCCAACCCTCTAGGGCATCCGAGTAATCCTACTTTAAGTGTGCTTAGGTCTAGAAATTTAATTCCATTAAATAAGAAGCATGACTTCAATTTTTGTGTTTCTTGTCAATTAGGAAAATATATTCGTTTGCCGTTTTATACTTCTAATAGTATTTCTACTACTGCTTTAGAGATTATTCATGTTGTCTTGTGGACATCACCTATTCATAGTACTAATGATCACTAATATTATCTTGTTTTATTGGATGGTTTTACCCACTTTGTTTGGACTATACCTCTAAAATTCAAATCACAAGCTTTTCAATATTTTTTGAACTTTAGACCCTATGTGTCGACTCAATTTGAACGTCCTATAAAATCGTTCCAAAGTGACCATGTTAGAGAAATTGATAACGACCCTTTTAAACTATTTTGTGTCACAAATGGGTTAATTTTTCGTTTCTTTTGTCCACACACGTTCTCTCAAAATGGGAAGACCGAACACATGATTCACATTTTAAATAATGTTTCTCGCACTCTACTTATTCATGCTTCCATCCCACCCTCCTATTGGGCTCATTCTCTAGAAACGACAACCTATCTCATTAACATATTACCCACCAAAGATCTCTCTAATAACACCCTGACCTTTGCTTTGTTTTGCAAAACGCCATCATATAATCATTTGCGAGTCTTTGGTTGTCTATGCTTTCCTAATCTCTCGACTACAGCCCCTCACAAATTAGCCCCTAGATCCACTCCATGTGTCTTCTTTGGCTACCCTTCAATTCATCGTGAATATAAGTGTCTAGACCTCTCCACAAATAAAATTATTCTTTCCCGTCACGTCACTTTTGATGAGTCGACGTTTTCGTTTCGTAGTTTGAGTACCTTTCAGAACTCAGATTATAGCTTCCTTGAGGATAGTGGCCCGAGTCCAATGTTGTCTACTTTTTGGCAGCACCCTAACTGAAACCAACCTCACACACAAGCTGCCCCAGCCCACACTATTCAGCAGCCCACCACCATAGGAAGCCCAGCGACGCTGGGTCACCAGTGGCCCAACCAGACCTTGCGTCTATAGGCCCAACAGGCGCTGCTTTCCCAGTGACCCACCTTGACTCCTCTAGTACTGAGCCCACTTCTCCACCCAGCCTTTCTCTTCCAACACTAGGCTCGTCTGTCTTAACCTCGATCTCCTTTTAGGCCTTCCTCATAGGATCAGCCCACACATTCTCTCTACATTCCCCTCCCTTTGCGAGGCATGTCGCCCACAACCCCAAGACGACCACCCCCACCCTCTTCACTTATAACTCGTAGTCAACGAGGTATTTTCAAACCAAACCCCAAATACAGCCATGCTAATTTAATGTGACCATCTCCTCTCATAAATCACTACTACCTAAGTCATATAAAAATGCACTTTTTGACTCTAACTGGAAAGCGGTGATGCAAGATGAATATGATCGATGTTGTTTTAATATAGGGACTTGGGATTAGGTACCTAGGCCTATGGGGGTCAATATTTTTAATTGTATGTGGTTATTTAAACACAAATTCAACTCTAATGGTGACCTTGAAAGGTACAAATCTCGTCTTGTTTGTGATGGCAGGTTGCAGGAGGTTGGTGTACATTGTGATGAGACTTTCAGTCCAGTAGTTAAACCGGCCACTATTCGTACTGTTCTCAATTTAGCTTTGGCTAAAAATTGGTTGATTCATCATCTAGATGTCAAAAATGTCTTTCTTCATGGTAATTTGCAGGAAACTGTTTATATGCATCAACCTTCGGGTTTTGTTTATCGGAAAGCACCCTCCTATGTATGTCGACTTTGCAAGGCTATATATGGATTGAAACAAACTCCTTGAGCTTGGTACCAGTGCTTTGCGAATTTTTTGGTCAGATTGGGTTTTGTCATTGCTAAGAATGACAACTCTCTTTTTACTTTTCGACAGGGTGATGATATGGCATATTTGCTTCTATATGTTAATGATATTATATTAGCTACCTCTTCTGACAGGTTGTGTGCAGGGAACATATCTTAGTTGCAAACTGAGTTTCCTATGTCTGATTTGGGCCCTCTGAGTTATTTTTTAGAGATTGCGGTTATCCGTACTCCTTTTTATTTGCTACTTTCTAAGAAAAAGTATGCCCAGGAGATTTTAGAGCGTGCAGGTATGGGCTCTTGTTAACTTGCAGCTACTCCAACTGACACTAAGTCAAAACTTAGTGCAAATTCAAGACTACCTTTTCGGGATCCTACTTTGTATCGCAATTTAGCAGGTGCTCTTCAATACCTTACTTTCACTAGGCCTGATATTGCCTATGCGGTGCAACATATGTGTCTTTTATGCATGATCCTCGGGAATCTTATATGATACTTTGAAGCGCATTCTGCGCTATATTCAAGGTACCATTAATCCTGGCTTACATTTATATTCGTCTGCTCCTACTCGTTTGATTACTTACACTAACGCTGACTAGGGATGTTGTTGCTGCTTTTTTGGGGACAACCTAGTTTCTTGGTCATCTAAGCGTCAACCTACATTATCTAAATCAAGTGTAGAAACAGAATATCGAGGCATCGCAAACGTTGTCTTTGAGGCTTGTTGGCTTCGTAACCTTTTATTGGAGCTACATTGTCCTCTTCGTCAGGCTACTATTGTTTATTGTGATAATGTCAGCGCTATCTACCTTTCTAGCAACCTGGTACAACACCAACGCACCAAATTAAACATGTGGAGATGGATATTCATTTTGTTCGAGAAAAGGTTCACTACTAGAAATAGGCCGTTTTCCGACGGAATCGTTCCGACGGACTTAAATTCCATCGAAGAATTCGAATATTCCGACGGAATTTTGGTCTGTCAGAAATATCCGTCAGAAAAGCTATGTTGCAACGGAAAATCCCTCGAAAATTCCGTCAGAAAAGAATTCGAATATTCCGACGGATTTTTTTTCTCTCGGAATTTACTGCTTCCGACGGAATATTCCCTCGAAAAATTTCTTCCGACGGATTTTTTTCGTCGGAAGATGTAATTTCCGAGGGGAAATAAATCCCTCGGAACATATTAATTTCCTACGGGTTTTAATTCCGTCGAAATATTACCCTTTTCCGACGGAATTTTATTAATTTAAAA